ATAGTTGACAAGGAAATGAGTTTTTTTTTTTTAATTTATAAATTTTTAAAATACAAAAGTTCCAATGTTGTGATGCCAAAAACATATTCTTGTTCTGTCTTACTAAATTTAGAGTGTTAGATAACATTAGAAATTAAAAGATTTGTTGAACTAGTGTCTTCCCCAGTTATTGCTATTCTTTAAGGACATGCAATTAAACTTGGCGCCACTGAAGAATAACATGTCTGTTAACAAATTCTTACATAAAGTCCAAACTATATTGCAACTAACAAACAGGAAGTCTGTGTATTCACAGAAACAATAGATATGCAAACAATTATCAAGAAGAAACATATTAAACAGATTTTAAAGAGCAATGGAACAGGTTTACAAAATACACTAGTACAGATAGAGTAGTATTGTTTAAATAATGAATTAAATTACATTTTCCTGAGAGAATACAAAGACTTACCTGACCAACCCATTGTCTGAGGCCGGTGATATGTTCCCTGACTTGCTCTGGAGTAAATAGCTCAGTTAATGAGACACCCTTTATTTTTGGCTTACCAGACTTGGTTCCAGCTGAAAATTCAGATGGCTGCACAACATTTTCTTGCCGATCTTGTCCAGTTTCTTTCTCAGTTTTTATGTTTTCAGTCCTAGCTAAATTAGCAGGTTCATCATATTGGACAGGTTCAGCACTAGGCATTTTATCATCAGCATTATTGTTATCCATTTTCATCTCACTAAGCTTTTCATGTACTGCATGTGCAGAAGCTTCAGCCTTAACTTCTGTTAACTCAGGTTTAATTGAGATAGACTTCTCAGCATTAGGATAGGGTTGGAGTAGAGACTGAGCATCCTTGGAAACAAGTGATTCACAATTTGCAGTAAAAGATGAAGCAGAATGGCCATTTTCAGGATTAATGGACTGGGGACAATGCTCAATCTTTACACGTTTTATAGATGGATGCAATTCCTCTGAAGTTTCAACTAATGGAGGCTTTGAGATCAATCTTGGTGATGTGCCTGTAATATTGTAAGGTTTACAGGATCCAGTCATTGCAGTAGACAAGCTTGGTTCAGGTCCTGGCCGAATCTGAGGCTTGAATTGAAAAGCACGTCGATACTTTCTCACAAAAACACAAACAGGGCAACATGGATCCTTGCAGTTTATGAAATGATGAATCAACTCCCTGGTATGATGGCAACGAGGATATGGACAATGGCTCAGTTTGCATCCATCTATGTGCTTGCACAACTTCTGTGCAATAGAGCAAAACCGTTCTTTGCATCGTCCTTCAGGAGCAGAACATCTTCGAGCATGAAGTAGGAACAAAAGCCACTTCTGTTGATTCCTGTGTGCCTTTTTTATGGCAATTCCAGATTCAAGCTGCTCAGCTGAGCCTCTAGAAAGAATAGCACGACCAGTAATTGATCCATCCGATGATAAATTATTGCATTGAGCTTCATCTTGTACAGATATTCTTTGATGAAAATCCATGCGGAGATGTTGATCATGTGCAATACCGTCAGGCGTGTGGTTACAATCTTGTGATTGAGGCCATTGGCTTAGAACTACAGATTTGGATTGTGCCCCAACTGTAAAACAGCTAAAATTATTTTGAGATTCAGCAACCAATTGATGTGGGTGCAAGATTGGTTGCGAATTTTGAGGCATTGATGATGGTAAATCATGGTGACCAGATGAGAATGGAAGATGTTGAGAACCTCTAGAACAATCTTCAGATGAGTTCTGCTGGAACTGACTCTGCATCTCAGATATGTGAAACTGTTCGGAGACATGAGAATTGAACAATTCTTTATGGTGTTCAATTCCAGGTTCAGGCTTCACTCTTTCTACATTGGGAGAAAGCTGAGAATGACTGAATGAGTCACTGTTGACCACATGCTGAGGCTGTTGACCTTGCATAGATTGAAATTGCTGCTGTGCATACTGATCTGGCTGCTGCACTTGTTGAGACCTTTGCTGATATTGCTGTTGAGAATGCAGAAGGCCATCCCTTGAAATCATCGAAGACTGAAAATTCAACTTTTCTAACTGGTTAATTGATTGAGACTTTATCTGAGCAACCTGCTGGATACCATGCAAGTTCGAGTGACCACTTAACAATGAACTAGTTTTAGGCATTGATGGTAATTTAACTGAACTAGTGTTCTGATTGTTTATCATAGACCCAGAGGATGTTGCAGACGTGTAGAAGTTTCCACACGGAAAATTGTCAACATTATTCAATCCATATCCATCACCTGTTAATAAAATTGTTACCGTTTCTGAAATATGTCAATTTCTACTGTAAAAATTACAGAGCATGCAATATCCAGACAGACACACAGCTATATACTAACAAAAATACATAGTCCTAAAAGGTTACGCAGCTTAACACAGGTTCTGCATTGCTGGTAAAGGTCTTGGGCACATTCCTTGATGGGAAAAAAAGAAAAAAAAAGGAGAGTGAAATATATTACCTTGAACTACTGGTTTCTGATTTTGATCAAAGTGCTGGTGCATGTGTTTAGGGGAATTTGCATAAGTGGGGGCATAGCTGTCAGAAGAAGTGCCTGGTTCATTAGCAAGTTGTATATTGTTTCCAATTAAGCCTGAACCACTATTTATAGCACCATTTGAGTTTGTAAATGGCTTCTGTAGTAAACCAGGTCTCATTCCATTACCCATTTGACTGTTGAGGCTCTGCAATACATGACTATTTTGGCTACCAACATGATGCTTCTGCTGCTGAAGTTGCGACAGTGGTACCATAGTAGACTCTACACTGGAAATGGCACCTCCATTAGTATTAGAATCTATGTTCATGTGTGAGTGACTACTGCTGACTGAGAATCCAGGAGTGGGAATCATCTGGCTAGCAATTCTCTGCACCCCCATTGATGAAATGTTCTCCCCTGAGGCAACAGAAAAGCTGGTAGAAGACTGCTGATAACCATTAGATAAACCTGCAACACATAGGCTCTACAATGAAGGACAAGAAAATCAAAGTGTAAGGATTGGTGAAGAATAACAACACCTAATATTACCATCAAATCTATTTAAGGTACTGCCAAGCATGCCACCAGCTGGTAACATGTTTACACTATTGAAAGATGTTGAAGCTATGCTATTACACCCGCTGGCATAAATCATTGAGGCATCCACAGAAGATGCAACCATCATGCTTGAATTTGGAACATGTGACATACCAGGGGTTGGTATCATTGTACCGATTGGAGAAGAGTTAACAAGCTGCGGATATTGTTGGTTGTGATTACTCATCGATGCTCGTCGGAGGAAATTTGATAAACGACTCTCCAGGGTGTCCAAGTTCATGTAATCCTCCTGAAAGACATGTCCAAAGCGTTATCAACACAAAAACAATCTTCAAATTCAGAAAGAAGATAAAGGTTCCATATTATTATTTCCAGAATCATAAATCTCAAATGTTTAAAATCGAGATCATTCCAAATTGTGCAAACTGGAAAACAAAAATTATAAAAAATAAAAAATAAATAAAACTAGAAGGCCAGAAGAAACCTTAGACAGAGCAGCTTTTAACATGCCCTCCTCCAAGCGTTTTGCAAGATCCTTAAGCTTCCTTCTCTGTACATCTGTAACTGGCTGCTGTTGTCTTCGCAACAACATATCAAATCTGGAAAGTAAAACACAATATCTACTGATGAGGATGAAAAAAACTATTTTATTTACCTTTTGCACAAATTATATTCTTTTTAATTCAAAAGGTCAAAGAAGGAGGGGGAATTGGCACATAATAGAGACAGAAATGCAGTAATCTAATTAAATTAATGGCATCCGCACTGCAGGGATTCCATTCACCACAACTTTGTAGAATGATCTAACCATGTGTATAAAGTTAAGCCATAAATTATAAAGAAGCATGAGTGTGAATGTTGTCAAGCAAGTTGCAAATACTGTTTTGCAGACACTAAAAATCTCAATAAAATTATGAAAAATATTAAATTAAATTAGGTTAAATATTCAACTAGGTCATGCAAGAGAGCCACAAAGCATATACTGGCACATAAAAGGAAATCAATCATAATGATCAACTATAAAAATAATTAGTTTCCTTTCACTTCTGTTTACAGATAACTTCAACTATCAATTTTTCTTATGAACCTATCAATAAATTGGCTTGCACTGTTGAGTTTACACTAGCATGTTGGCAATAAATCTGAACAAAAAAAATCCATCTGCCCTTATTATAAATATAGACAAAATTCCTGATAAGCATCAAAGTCAGTTTAGCCCCTAAAAGAATTCAACTGAACAAATGAAAAAAAATAAAATAAATAAATGCTTACATCTTCTCTTGAATAAAAGTACGAGCTCTAAGAAATTCAGGATCCGTATTAATTGTTGACCGGGGTACACCCCCTAAAGGTGGCATCTGATGAGGGAGTGCATTCCCATTCAGTTGGGTCAGTCCAGACAATTGAGACCCTGATTGATTAGGTACTTGTCCTGACATCTCCCCCGGAATATGTGCCTGCAGTTTCATATTATTTTTCACATAGCTCAAAAATGTTATAGGATTCCACCATCAGCTATCACTTCATCCGTAACAGACCCCTGTAATCAGGGTACAAACCCAAAACACTGATGATTTTTGCAAATCAACGGATAACAACTTAACTAGTGGCATGAAGGAAATGAAATAAGAAGACCCTATATTTAAAGAGCAAGAAAAGGAAACTGATATTGAATGCAAACAACTTTTCTAAATTTTCCTAAATTCTATCAACCCAAAAAGGGGTCAACGAATGACGCTACGCGGATCCCTTCTGCGTGAAATTGAAAACCGGAATATTAAATTTACGGTATACAAATTCAATCAAACATAACTAGTGCAAGAAACCCTAAATACAGATTCGAATCAATAAATATATCTTAATGAACACAGAAACCCTAATAGATAGATGAGTTATGACGAACCTAAAACGGTAAACAATCGAGTACAGACCAAGCACGATTTCGGTCTTGCAATATGGAATTGGAAAGGAACCCCAAAGTATCTACGACCACGCCAACGGCGATTCACGATGTTTTTGCCGTGGAGAAAGAGAAAGGTCGGTGACACCCTCTCAAACCAAAGGCACGTGCGGAAATTTGCCACGAATGAACTATAATAACAGAAGGAAAAGAATTATAAATAAATAAATCATAAAAGATAAGAAATTATAACAAGGACGTGGAAAAAGACATTGGTCACAAGACTAAAATGATTTTCGGGATTAGGTTATATAACTTATAAGAAGGTTTTATTATTTTTCTTCTAGTCTAGATAAGATAAGTGTTGATATATCTATATATAGAGAGAGAGTAAAAGATAGAGTTTTTGATGATATATTTTCATATATTAGATTTTAATAATATAATTTATTACTCTGTTACATTTTTTAAAATATTTTTTATGATTCTAATTCTGAATTTTTTTTTCAATATATTAACTAATTTTTACTATCAAGCAAAATATCAATAGTTGAAAATAAATTGGTACTTCATTGTAAAAGTTTATTTTTATAAATGAAAATACATCTACATGAAAATACATCAAAGAAAGAATATTTCTCTTTTCAAAGGGATTATATTGAAATTTTTATTATGCCTGATGTGACAAAAATGGCTAGGTTCAATTTTATAAATAAAACTTTAAATATTTTGTTCCATTAATAGAAGTAATTAGGGAAAGAAGATGAAAAGATACAAATTTTACAATTTCAATTCAAAATAAATTAAATTATTTGGAGAAGGTAATTTACAATATATATATATATATATATATATATATATATTAATCTTTTAGTTTAAAACTTTCTTTTGCTTTTCATATTTAAATTTTAAAATAGTTATAAAAAATTATAACCCTTATATAATGTTTAAAAGTCAACTAATACAATTTGTCAATGAATTAGATTTTATTTTGTAATTTGATTAAAATATAATTATTAGATTATGGGACAACTTTAACTTTAGTGTTATTTTTTATTTTTCAAAATTGTACAGTTGGATGATGAGATTAAAGATGACATATGGACTAATTTTATCTAGTTTTTTTTTTATTATAGTTAGATTCACCATAAGAATTCACGCATTAACCAAATTTATTTATTTATCACATGGGTTTACTATTTTGTTGAAATTATATAATTTTGAATATTTTTCAATTTATATTATAAAAGGTAAATAAGTTATCATTTGACAAATAAGTTAATTTTAATTTAGAGATGGACTAATTTAGTTTAAATACATACATTTTTATAATTATTTTAAATATTTCAAATATTTTATTAAAGTTTTTATTAATAATTGGTTAAAATATATTTTAAAGGCTTTAAGTTAATGTAATTTTTATTTTCTTTTTAATGTTATGATAAGTTTATAAATATTAGTGTATGAGAAAAAAATATCATATTAAAGTTATCATATTATATATATATATATATATATATATATATATATATATATATATATATATATATATTGTTGTGATATTCATTAATTAGATCTTTCATTGTAAATGTATTTTAACAAATATTAAGAATGTTTAATATAATGGACCCATTTTAGTTCAAATGACAATATTTTGAGACTTTATTATAAACGTAATTTATTTTTTATATTTATTAATGGCTTTTAATTATGTTATGTATGCATTTCTAGTGCTCTTTATGATAATATTAATAAAATGTTTTGTTATATAAAAGATTTAACTTATCATAAAATTTAAATGTTATGATATTTAACAGAATATATTTTGGTGTTTGTTGGGTTGAGAAGTATTTAAAAGAGTAGAAAAAGAAAAAAATAATAGAAAATGATATTATTTAAATTAAGAGAAAGGAAATAGAGAAAAATAAAATAATTTGATTTTAAAAATATTAAATAAAAAAATAAAATGATGAATGATGAAACTATCATTTACATATTTTAATAAAAAAACAAGTATAAATTAAAATTAAAATATATATAATTTAATATGAAATAATTATTTAATAAAATAGATAAAAGTAAACCTAAATAAAGTTAATTTATAAATAAATTATAAATAAAAATTAATACAATAAATAAATTAATTATTATTACATTATTGTCTTGAAATAGATAAATATATATAATTTATTTTTTATATATTATTATATATACTATTTGATTAAAAATTATTTTTAAAATGAAATATTTTAATTAAAAAATTAATTTGAAATTTAATATTTATTTAAAATTATAAGTAATTATATCTTTTCAATAATATATAAATATATATTAAAAATAAATTATTTTAAAAAGTTATATTAATTAGCATAAGATAACCGATTAAGAAAAAAACTATATTATATTTTTTAATAAATTAAAAATACAGTTTAATTAAAAAAATATTATTAACTAATCATGTTAAAATAAAATATGAATCATTAAATATATTAATTTTTTTAATAATGTTTATTAAATCATCATCCTCATAATAATAATAATAATTCAAAACAAAAGAATTATAAAAGAAATATAAAAGAAGGAAAACTATTACGTTGAGAAATTAAACAATTCACACATTCTATTCAACCCATTTAAGTTAGACTTCTTTACTAATCTCTAATTATATTTTTTTACAGAAAGTAAAAATGTATTTTATCTTAAGGTTAAATATGTATTTAATAAATCTCTTTAATATTTTAAAATAAAATCTATTTTTTAATTTTTAAGTTTTTATAAGTGGCAGATGTACATGTTACTTTTTTATGAAAAAGTTGTACTTCTATTATCTATCTCTTGTTTATAAAAATAAGTGATACACGTAGTACCTTTTCTTATAAAAAAATTTGTAAAAAGAGTTTTTTCTTACTAAAAGAGAATTGAGATTACAAACATAATTAAAAATAGTTAGTTCTGCTGGTGATTATGATATGAGTGGTGATATTTTTATAATTAAAAATCATATAATTTTGAAATAACTTATTTTTATTAATATAATAATTTATCAAATGATTTAATAAAAATAAAAATAAAATAAAACTAAAAATAGTTATTTATAAGAGCAGTAGGAATGTAAGTTTTCAAATTACATTTTCCTTACGATATTTATCAAGTTACTAGAAAGAGATTATGAAGTATATGCTTTTAACTCTTCGTTACCACCTAGGCATCGGAAGAGTGTTCTGGACGACAAGAGATGGTTCTTCGCGGAGAAGCTTCGGTGCTACAGAGTCGTATCCCACTCGGTGGAGATCAGCGACTGCGACGACGTGAAAGTTTACGTGAAAGATGTGATTTTGATGCACTGAGAGGGTATCAAGGCCAGGTTGCGCTCCGTGGGCGAAGGGGTCCTAATATTCTGAGCTTGCTCAAGGTACGATGAAAAGTTCCACTCTTGGATTATGCATGTTAGAGTAAACATTTTCTTTCTTGTGAAAAAATTTGTGAATAAAAATCTTAATCATAATCATCTATGTATATATATATATTTCGATTGCACAACTTTTTTCTCTATATTTTATCATTATTGATTTATACCTTTATATTTGATGTTTTCAATATTAGATATTGGACTGATGACATCGTATTAATCTATATCTCTATCTATTCTTCCATCTTCCTTTTTAATGACATATTCCTTCTAACATTTCTTAAGTATTCAAAGTCTCTATTTTTTATCTACACATTCTAACTCTGTATTTTTTATGTTAGTTTTACCAATAACAAAATATTTCCTAAGAGAATGATGCATGCTTTGATGAATATATATTCTCTTCGATGATAAAACAACTCCTAACATTTTATTTTACTTTATCCAAAAAATTGTTCAACCCAAGTTTTCATTATTACATTTCATTCTTCTCATAAATGTAAAATTTTTAAAATAAATGCTACCCTGTGTATAGCCATTCATTTAGTAGTCATTGGCCTAATATTAAGTTAATATTACGTTAAAATACTTGCATATGAGTCTACATTCTCTTATGATCTTATATTGCATACTCACTTATGATCTTATACATTCTCTTGTTCTTGATGATAAAACAACTCCTAACATTTTATTTTACTTTATCCAAAAAAATTGCTCAACCCAAGTTTCCATCATTGCATTTCATTTCATTCATAAATGTCAAATTTTTATAATAAATGCTACCTTATGTATAGTCATCCATTTAGTAGTCATTAACCTAATATTAGGTTAAAATACTTGCATAGTCGAATATGAGCCTACACAAAGGCCCACTTATGATCTTAGGCTTCCCGAGAAATTACTTTCTTTAAAAACTTGAGACTGTTTCATCTTCCCCTGCAACTCTTCTGTCAAGATCTCATGTTTCCGAAAACCTTCAAACACCCCTTTCACTTTAAAGCTCATTATATTACCTCTTCTCTTCATCAAATATCTACTCATACCTTAAGAAAAATGGCGTCTTCTTCTGCTACCTCTTAGGTTTCCAACATCCAACTTGTAACCACACGCTTCATTGAACTCAACCTAGGTATTCATTCTCTACTCAATAAGAGGCATTTCCTATGCCTTTGGAGGACTCCTAATCCTTGACCCTGATGAACTGAGGAATTTTTTCCTTCTTCTAATGAAGGAAAATTTATTCTCCAAAATCCAAAAAGGAAGTTCAGAGTAGACTTCCTTTCCCAATCATCCAAGGTATATAATTTTGGGCCACCCCGGAAAAACTCTTCGTATATGAAATGACTCGACCAAGTCAAGTCCAAATTCCAAAGTCATTGGAGGCAAATCGGCATCTACGATTCCCTCTACCTCTCTAGATTCGACATTGATTACTTAGATATGTCAATGTTCCTACCAGCAGTCGAACTTTGGAATAAGGATCTCAACAAATTGGAGCTTCCTTGTGGCCCTGTATCCCTAACCCTACTTAATGTAACTACTATAACAGGGCTCAAACCTATTGGATAAAGTACTTCATCAATGCTTTTCCTATTGACAAAGAGATCAAGGTCAAAATTCGATGGAAAGGAAAGTCTATGGTCATTTTCTACAACAGCACTTCATCGATGATTCATTCATCGTAGTCTTCGATGAAGAACACATGACGTTTATTGTGTACTGGTTATGCACTCCCGTCTTTTGCCCCTGCTCGATCCAAATATCCTAGCATTACTACAACTTGGCCTATTTGCTTCATCGTGGAACCCCTACCATTTGCTTGGCCTAATTGATACTAACACGTGTGTATGCTGCTTTCAGGGAAGCAGTTAATGTGCCCTTCGATCTAATCAACGTGGTGGTAACCTTTCTGATTCATTATTATTCATTCAACATTGGTTGACGACTATTTTTGAGTCGCGCCTTTCTGCCCTCGAAGTGACCTCTAGTCTAATCTCATCATATCCAATGGAAGGCGCAAGATTAGCTACTTGCCTACCTAAATACTATAAACCTGACACCATCAAATTCTTATTGGCACAAACAAAATTTGATAATATCCTTGTCCCTTTTTCCAAAATTGGTAATTCCTCATGAGATATTTATGGTCAACTATAACTCAAATCGAAACCACAAGCAAGTACTCTAGGATTACGAATTGAAGTACTTGAAGTTTGAAGGTGCTTTTTGATATGAGACATATTAGTAGCAGGCTTCCAAATGAAAGATGTCAAAAATTTTCTATATGTTTATTAACATTTTTCTCACTAATTCGGTTTGAGTCAAGCTTTTCTCGATTCCATTGAATATTTCCTCGTGGCATCACATACAATGAATCGAGCCTACAAGAAGCACTCCTTCAGTTGACTCCTTCAAAGCAATTGAATATCATCATGTTGGTGGAAAAAATTGATATATGAATCGAAAAGTATATAGAAGAAATTCGATGACCATGTGTTGGGGAAAATCGATATATGAATCGAAAAGTAGGTGGAAGAAATTCGATGACCATGTGTTGGAGAAAATCAAGATATGAATCGAGAGTGGATAGAAGAAATTCAATGAACACGATTGAGAATAAAAAATCGAGTATTAAGTTAAGTTTGAGGGAAGTCAGAGGCAGTTCAAGTATTCGATGTTTGGAGTCGAAATCGAGGTAAACAGTTATCTTGCACATGGGAACATGGGGTAACGGTTTCTAAACCGTTCTTAAGTGGTCAGAAGCAGTTCAAAGTACTCGATGTCTGGAGTCTAAATCGAGGGAAACAATTATCTTGCACATGGGAACATGGGGTAGCAGTTTCTAAACCATTCTTAGGTGGTCAGAAGCAGTTTAAAGTACTCGATGTGTGAGATGAAAATCGAGGGGAGCAGTTATCTCGCGCATGGGAACATGGGGTAGCGGTTTCTAAACCGTTCTTAGGTGGTTATGTTGAAGAAGGTTATAAATAGAACAAACGTAAAGAAGGAACGGGATTTTCAGAGGTATCAAAAATCTATTGTACAAGTCTACTGGAGAACGATAATCATGGAATTTCTAGCAATCTGGATTTTCACTTTTATCGACTTTTATTACCGCTTTTTTTACTTTCCCTGGTAATTTATTTACATGCAATTTAAATTTACCTTTCTGTACTTTCCAGTTATTTCAATTCCTTGATAATTTATTCTTGTGCAATTTTAAATTATGCATTACTTTTCGTCTCGATATCTTTTACCACTTTCTTTATTTTTTCTGGTAATTTATTTACATGCAATTTAAGTTCGTGTTCTTTGTTCCGTCATTTATCTCTATTTAGTTGCTTTATATGGATTTACATGTCTCTTATTTTGCATAGCCTTTCATGTTATATGGTTTACACTTAATTTTATTTCTTCCGATTTTCATGTTCTCAAGTCTCTTAATAAAAAATACAAAAAAAAAAGAACTTTCGTTTTTAAGTTAATGAATATAGTTTATTTATCCATTGTTGTTGAACAACCTTTCTTTCGATTGGATATAACTGTTTATTTGAGTAGCATTGATGTCTGTATGTTTTTAAATTCGTTTTTCGTGTTTCACACTTAAATTTATCGTTTCATATGTTTTGATTAAAAAACTTTGTTTGTTAGCCTAAATAAAAAGAACTTACGGTGGTTGAAATTTGATTAGAACTTAGTCTGTGGGAAATTGAAACAAAACCAAAAATTTTACCAGAAACAGGTTTACAACAGGATTCATCCATTGTACATAACACTTCTGCTCCGATTGAGACACAGGTTGAACTAATCGTTCTTGGTGCTCATTTAAAAACCCTCCATTCTACTTATAATATTTGTTTTACAAGTTACTTTTATAACATAATGAGATTCTTCATTGTTTAATAACCCTTACTTATGCTATTGTAGAATCTCTTGGTCAAATTATTGTAGCCCCACCAACAATGGAACCAACTCCCCATTGATTTACCTTTGATGGATCCTACCCCTAAAGCATCCACTGGTAATGAAGATGTCCTCATGGAAGAAATTGAAAAGGATTCATTTAGCATCTTAGAGCTTATGACAACTCATGGGGAAACATTTGAGGCTACAACGAGCTCTTCATTCATTCATTCACTCATCTCCGACGTGTTGAATCTAGTTAAAGAGTTTAGATCCTTCATCTACTTTTCTCCTTTGGAAACAACCATCGAGATGCCTCAAAAGAAGAAAGAGTTCCAAGAGATTATTCATTAAATCGAAGCAATTCCAATTGAGCAACTTCCTCAAGGTTTTGACGAAGAAGTTTCCACTATTACCAATCTATTTAATGAGAGTTGAGTCTTGAGGAAGAAGCATCTTGCTTTGGATTCAAAGAATAACGAGATCAAGAACACTCACATTACAAAGGTTGATTCATTAAACTCTGTGGGAAATCAAATAGTATTTTAGAAAAGAATAAATAAGGAAATTTGTATATTTCCTTGTAATCTGTACAGATGTGAATAATTAGGAACAGATTCGGGCAGGATGATTGGACATGCTAGAGAATGGAATGACCTTTATTATCTCGAAGATCCAAGTTTGCCCAACAAAAATAGAATCTCTCACTCCTTCATATCTGAATCCTTGATGACCAACAGAGAAAAAATCATGTTTTATCATTGTCGGTTGGGACATCCCTCTTTTAGAGTGATCAAATTTATGTTTCCCTCTCTGTTTATCAAGTTAGATGTTGAGAGTCTTCATTGTGAGGTGTGTGAACTTGCTAAGCACAAGCGTATATCTTTTCTAATAAGTAATAGAATTAGCAATGTCCCTTTCTATCTTGTTCATACTGATGTGGGACCTTCTAATATTCCAAATGTGTCTGGTACTCGATGGTTTGTCACCTTTATAGATGATTGTACAAGGGTCACTTGAGTTTTTCTACTTAAA